GGTAGATCATGTATAAAAACAAAATAGAGCTAAAAAATTCATTCTGTGTTAGTGAGCAGATGTCTAGCCCATTTGCAATTAATACGACCCACTTCCATACAATCAGATTGCTTAAAATTCCTGGAACAAGATGTAAAAGTTAAGATGCAAATGTTCTGATTTTAATGAGAATGAATGGAAACTATAAAATCCTCTCTCCCTTTGAGGGTAGGTACAATCTACATGTAAGTCCCAACTGCACACTAAATTTATCAACAAAACAATCATTTGATAAAGCCTGTGTAAAAGAAGAAAATAGAACTAGGAAAGTCAGAAGTATATTCAGAAAGCATTTCTTACCAAAATTAAATGTTATCAAAGTCATTGTTCTTTTAAGAAGCTTTAAAGAAAATTCACTCATTTGCATACATTTCCCCCAGTTACCCACATGTACGAGGAGTTTCTTGTATTGCTTTGAATCTAGACACCTTTCCATGGACAGTGTAGAGGGTGGCAGAAGAGACCAGGATGTTGGTGCTACCTGGATCTCATGTCAAATCCCAGCTCCACCCCTTCATGTAACCTTGAAGAAGTTACTTAAACTGAGTTCCAGTGTTCTTGTCTATAAAATGGCAATAACATCTTGTACATATATAATATGTATAAGCATGTATTAAAGGGCCAAAGAGAATTCCGAGCACATGAAGGCATATTAAGTGGTATTAATTATTAGGGTTATAGTTGTGGTGGCTGAGGCATACTTTTCTAGGATCAAAAGACAAATTTCACCTTTCACTTTTATCTCTCCCTGCTCAGAAGGCCCTTTTGATAGCTTAATGAAGTCCCACACCTTTGATGGTCCAGCTGCGAAGTCTGTCCAAGTCTGTATTTTCACTAAGTAGCAGTGTGTTTCTGAAGGTGTAGACCCCACCCAACTCCAGCTGAAGCAGACACCCCAGCCCCCACTGAGGTTCTGGGGAAGTGACATTTCCCACAAGCAAGGAGAGTCTGGTGATTCTCTGAACACTGGGAGGTGCCTAACCTGTGCAGCACTCAGTGGTCTTTGCTGAATTGGGCAAAAACAAAGAACTTGAACTTTCCTAGCACTTACTTGTGTCCCTTGCCTTCATTCATTCATTGAACAGCTAATAAGAGGGGGTGCCTCCTCTGTGCTAGCAGAGTTCTAAGCCCTGGAAATACGCCGAGGAATTTGGTACCACTGTATTTTTCTGGGGAAACTTACAGTCCTGGTGGGGTGGGGGCAGGGGGGCAGTGTGCTCAAGGAGGAGAGCAGAAAGGCAGGCACCAGGCACTGGCTCTCCTTTTTCCTTCTGTGACTGGCACGTGCCCTGTGGGAACCAGGCACTCAGAAAGTATCTGATGACAATGATGAACAGAATCAAGGTGGTGAGGCTTCAAAGGCTTAAAATTCTTAGATCTGGTAGTGGCTCAGACGTAGTCAGGAATGGGAGGCTCTGTAGTATGGCAGAGAAAACATGCTCTTTGGAGTCGAACTGACAGAAATTAAGCCTCAGCTTTGCTACATGCCTCCAGCAACTTGTTCTGCCATTCAGTGCGGTACGTACCTCGGAGGGCTGGTGTGAGATTCCACTGCAAAGCCAGTACATTTATTCATTTACTAAATGCTTACGGAGCATTCAGCATGTGCCAGGCACTGCCCCAGACACTAGGGATACAGCAGTGACCGACACAAAGTCTCCACCTTCACAGAGCTCGCATTCTAGCGGGTGGAGACTGACAAGTCAATAAGCAAAGGACATGTGGTGAAAATGCTATGAGGAAAGTGAAGCAGGGTGAGGGATGGAACGGCAGGTGGTGGGGCAGGGCGCTGTTTTAAGTCATGTGGTCAGGGCAGACCTAGAAAACTTGGGGAAGTAAAGGCGAGAGCCGAGGCAGGGGCCACTGTTGGGGCAGAGGCCCTGAGGCACAGGCAGGTCTGATGTGCTGTCGGAGCAGTGACAGCCAGTGTGGCTGGAGTGGGGTGAGCCGGGAAGCACACGGTAGGAGATGGGGGTGGAGGTAGTGTGGGGGAAGAGGGGACAGGTCACATGGGGCCTTCGAGGTCACGGTAAACAACTCTCAAAGAGTGGTGGGAAGCGAGCAGGGTCTTCTGGGCAGAAGAGTGACATTTAAAAGCACTACTCTGGTTGCAGTGGGCAAAGGTTACAGAGGGGCAAAGGCGGAAGCAGAGAGGCGAGCTGGAAGCACAGCGCAGTACGCTGGGCAAGAAAGGACAGCGGCCTGAACCGGAGCACAGGATGGAGTTGGCGAGATGTGAATGGATTCTGGATATATTTCTAAGCAAGAACCCTCAGAATCTACCAATGCATTGGTGGTGAAATACTTAGAAAGAAGAGGCAGGGCAACTCCAAGAAGGCTGGTCTGGGCAGCAGCAAGAGTGGACTGGTCCTTTACTGACAGGGACCTGCTCAAGCCGCAAGTGTGGAGACGAAGGGGAGACGTCCACAGGCAGGAGGGTGTGAGGCTCAGGTCCGGGGAGAGACCCAGACAAGGCATGCAAACATGGGTGTCATCAGCAGATAGGGTGCACTCAGAGCCCTGGGACGTACGAGAGCACGTGGGCAGCGCGAGGACACGGTGAAGGGACTAGACCCAAGAGGTGGACCCCGGGACACACTCGTGTCTGGGGAGGAGGAAGAGGAATCTATGAAAAAGACTGAGAAGGAATAACCAGCAAAAGGCAAGGAGCTGCGGGATACACCGGCCCTCATTCACGACAGCCAACCGTAATACTGACCCTGAGACAGACCCTACGCCGAACTCTGTGTGGTCAATCGCACATCCTGTGATGGAAAGGACTGGAGAAATACGGATGCCCTGTAAAGTAAGTATGATCAACAAGCAGTCACCTCAGAACACCCCACATTATTACAAAGGGTTTTTAAATGGGAACAAAGGAATTTTCTTACACGCACAATGTTCATGATCAACAGTCAACACCGTAATTAAGTCAAGAACTAGGCCTACAAAATTTCACAATCTTCGACTAGAGTCCACTAGAAGTCACTGCCATTACCACCCCGACCCGCATAGCAAGCTCGCTGCCCAGATTAACCAGGTAGTCGTCACAACTGACCCGCGACAGAGCACCCTGGTCAGCTCCATTCTGCAGAGGAGAAAATGACAGCAGAGAAATGAAGCACCCACTCAACGTGACATGGCTGGAAGCGCCGAGTGAGGAACAGACCCCAGCGGTCTGGCTCCAGGGCCTGCGTCTCACTAGTTTGCTCCGGAGTCCGTTAATCACGATGACAACGATAATGACAACAACCACTACTCCTATAACTACATACAGCACAGCTGGTTAAATTAATTTTAATTAAAATTCAATATAATGTCATTTCTATAATTAATAATGGACCATATTAGTGTAAACTCATGCTCGTCTTTTAAGTCAACTGCTAATAGAAATGGATCGTGCATGTCACTTTTATTAGATTCAAGCAACTGTTTTCTCTCAGTGTGCAGACACAATGAAAAGATTAACTGGTGGGAAAATCAACTGTGTAGACTGGGACTAGGGAATAAAGTAAAATACCAAGATAAACTGCTTTTAAAATCAGCTGAAGATTTAATATAGCTCTGGAACATTTCAATTATTTACATGCTTGGTCTATGCAGTGTAAATCCGGGCTAATGAGATTCAATTGCTGTGTATAAATCTGAAACAGGACAACCCGATTGTCTAAAGAAAACAGCAGCTTGGGCTCCTGTGTTAATAACTCTTCAAAACAAAGATCATGACTCAGGAAGAGTAACGTCGTTCTTGTAACATCGTTCTTGCATCACATTATTGATTGCAGTGGGTGTTGAGAGAAACGGCTCCATTTGGTCAAATACGAACTCTGAGACAAGTTGCAAGGGATTCAAAGAATCTATTGATCACTACAGTTGTTCTAATAACAAGGCCAACAATAATAATTTACATTGTCTCTTTGTCCTATGGAAATTATTAAGGCCCAAGGGAATGCTTTTTCTTTGTAACGCTCCCCGTGCCTAGTACCAAGGGCTATGTAACGCTATAGTGGAACACAATAGATGTTAATAGATAACTGGCCAGAGCACAGTACTTCCCCTTGAGGATCCTCCTAAAGGCTTTGTGCATAGCACTCTATGATATTGTAGGTACTGTCAGATGCATTTTAAAGCAGTGAACCATTTAAAATCAATCCATGGCAGCTCTGTAGACAGCATATCCCTTTAATACAGGCATAAATAAGGCTTCAGGTGCACAAAGGAAAGAACCATGTCGGCCTGAAGAAGTAAGGGTGGGTTTCTTGATGGTAACATCAGCGCCCAATCTCAATGAATGCACAGCAGTTTTGTCAGAGGGGGCAGGAAGCGGACAAGGATGCCACAGGCATTAGGACCAGCCGGCATGAGGCACAGAAGCACGCAGTCTTTGGGAAGTCTTGTGGTTCCCAAGGAACCACTAGAAATGGGAGGTATTTTCGTTTGTCACAGTAAGTGGAGAGAGCGACTGGCATTTAGCCATGGGTGCTATGGCTGCTAAACACCTCAACACCCTGGCCAGTTTCATACAAAGAGGAGCTGTCCCATCCAAAATGCCGATGGTGCCTCCACTGAGGAACAGTTCAGCACCGAGGATACCCACTTGGGGGTGGGGGGTGGAGGAGGAAGGAGAAAGGAGAAAGGGAAACTGAGGCCAGGCTACAAAGACCAGGAAGGAGGGCTTCACCCTGCAAGCCACAGGGAGCCAAATGGTGAGACGTGCACTTTGGAATGGTCCCTCAAGCGGGAAGATGGGGTGGGGGCAGGGTGTCCAGAAACAAGGGGCCTGGGAGGCCCACCGGAAGGCTGCAGCAACAGATGAGCTGGGGAGCGGGCAGGGGCTGACAGGAGGGCGCAGGGCGGGCCTCCCTGCATAGCAGGAGGATATACGGGGATGGCTCAGGCTAGAGCCATTGAATGAACTGTAGTAACACCTAGTTCACAATGAGTCTGTTACATGCATTGGCTAATGTTGTTACTTTTTATTGTTATGCCAAGGATGGTTCTGGACGTGAGATACAGCAGTGAAGATTCCGGGTTATCTTTCACGTAGTATTTGATCAACAAATCTGTGTTACAAGAATGGAGACAAGCATTAGAACAGAGAGCCGTCAAGTTGCAGGCTGGGTGTAAGACTAGCAATCTGGAAACCAGGTACCCTGAAAATAGACATTGGCCACTGAAGAAATCTGAATTAGACAATCTAAAAAAAATAAAAAGTTAAGGTAGTTGTAGTACTGAAAATTCACTGAACCCACTTATCTGCATTTTGAACAGTTTCACCCTGCCTCAAAAAGGCAAGTGCCACCTGTTTCTACCAGACACGAATTTCATGTAATGTATTCAAAATATTTTTAAAGTAAAACCCAACAAAACTCCTTTGGAGTTGGAACAGCTCTCTCCACCATTCAAATCCACTATTCTAAATGTCAGCCTAATGAAGTATACATGTAAAGAGCTGGCAGAATGTGCTTCCCAACTTTTGGGGGATAAATGCAACTGAACTGTGTTGAGGGGAAACTAGGTATCTGATTTATGGGCTTTAAAGGGTGTCACAGAAATGACAGAATTAATGATTATTGTCCTATTAGCATTTTGGGGGTGAATTCTGGGGTGTCTAACTGGGCTATCAGCAATGCAGACTGATTATTTTTAGGGAGTCTTAGGCAAACCATCAATTACCTCTGATCCTAAACACATTCACATGATAGGTGCAACCACCGTCTCTGGGAACGACTACGTTGAACTAAGAGCTAAAGGAACTAAAGCAGCAGTGCAGACCTAGTAAGTGGTGTTTGGGAAAAGGAAGGAAGGAAAGCAAACAGAATAAACTAAATTATGACTCCCTGAAATGAGTTGTAAGAAAAAAAAAATGTTCTTGTCAGAAAATAAAAACTATGCTACTCAAAAAAATTTTTTTTTACACCTTAGGTGTCAGAACACTAAAAAGCAGATTTCACGTCCAGGCAATTTTTTAAGGTGTTCCACGCTGGGGCCTGGAAGCAAGTGTGCCCGCTCCCTACACTGCCACCACCTTTAAGAGCAGCCCCTCTAAGGTTGTGCTTTAACCTGGGGGCCGCTACAAATTCACCTGGAATGAAGCACAAATGTTAAAATATTACGGAATATAAAAGCGGAGTGCAGAGAATAGAAGCTGCCTCAGCAGGTAACCGGATGGCCTAAGGTGAGAGGACTCAGAGCCACTCAGGGGCTTAAGACCAGTGCTTTAACCTTCTTTGGGAATTAACAGGGCTTCTAATGGAGGCCCTGGGCCGCTCCCTCAGGCAGAGGTGCACAAGCACCTCTACACACAGAAAGCCTCCGCGGGGCTTCGGAGCTTTCCTGCAGCCGATCCATTACCTCCCAGGAGTCCACGGACCCAAGGTTATGATCCCTGAGATCACAATAGCTAATTTCAGAAGATTAAGTACAAACAGGATATGGAACTCCTGCAAAATGACATTTGTAAGTTTTAATGGACCACCTTATCTACACAGAACTAAAATCCCATGCCTTCAAAAGGTAAAAGCCAAGCACTGCTCAGACATCAAATTTAGACACAAGTACTGAATACACTTCGCCTATGTCCCTAGTATAGTTTCACGTTCTTGGTTTGCTGAGTGCTAAGCTTGTCTCTGGCACCGGGGAGCCGGCCGGATACTCCAGGGGCAAGCAGCTCGCTGAGTAAGCAGCGACGACAAGCTCAGGGCTGGAAAAGAACTCCTGTCTGAGTAGCTTCAAGTCATTTTTTGAAATGAAAGAAAGTTTGAGCTCTCGAGTCAGACAGACTGGGGTCCAGATTGTCACTATGTCACTTATGATTAGTGGTTACCAGCTGTACGATCCTGAGCCTCTCCAAGCCTCCGCTTTTTCATTTGGAAGATGGGGATGAAGCGGCTACGTCGTGGGGTCCCGAGTAGGTTTGAGCGCAGCAGTGCAAGCAGAGAGCTGAGCTGGGCGCCGGGCACGGGACGCTTCCAAAACAAGGAAACGTCCTGAAGAAACCTTTACTAAAAGGCTGCCATTTCTGTACCCAGTGTATTCTACAGTTGAAAGGGCAGTTTTTGCTTATAAATTTTAACCCTAAGAAGTATGCCTGGTCACAGTCAATATTTGAGTATGTGAAACACTAACGTGGTTCCAAAAGGCAAAACCATACAGAAAGGTGAACTCAGAGACATGTCACCCCTCCCCACACACCCGCCCTACTCCAGTGTCCCCGACTCCCTCTGACCAACTTCTGTTTCAGGCTCATCCTTCCTGTGTTTGCCCCTAAAAATGAGCAGATAACCGATACTCTCTCTCTCCTTCTTTCTTACCAAAGAGAAAGCATGTTAAAGATACTCTTGTATCTGGCCATTTTTGCCTAACAGTATATCCTGGACATAGCTTCCTATGAGTCACAGAGGTCTGTCTCATTCTTCTCTAAAGGTCAATAAGACATGGTGAGGCTGAGCCATAATTTATTCAATCACTCTCCTCTGCACAAGTATTGAGGTTTCTTCCAGTATTTTGCAATCACAAACACGCTGCAATCAATAAGCTTGTGCACATGTATTTTCGTATTGTCAGAGGTATGTCTGCAGGGCCAAGTACTAGGAGTGGTATTGCTGGGTCCAAAGGTACCAGCACAGAGTTTTATCAGACTTTGTCAAAGACCCTCTGAAATGGTTGTACTGATTTGCATTCCCACTAGCTACATCTGAAGTGTCTGTTTCCTTAAAGGCTCACCAACAGAATGTGTTGCTATATTTTTTAATTTTTGCCAATCTGGTAGGTGAGAAATGATACCTCATGCAGTTTTAATTTGCATTTCTCTAATTACGGGTAACGCTGAACATCTCTTCATATGTTTAAGGACCATTTTTATATCTTTTTGGGGGAATGGTGGTGAATTGTCTGTTCCTTTTCCTTATTTTCTATCCCATTTTTTGTCTTCTTCCCTTTATTTTAAAGATCTTAAAAATGATCTTAGGGATATTAACTCTGCAGCTATAATACATGTTCTCCCAGTTTGTCAGTTGTCTTTTGACTTTATGTTGTTTTAGCCACCTAGAAGATTTTTCCTGCTAATGACTGAAGCCCTGTTGATTTGAGATGCTACCTTTATATACACTAAGTTTTCATATGTACCTGAGTCTACTTCTGGTCCCTTTTATTCTACTGGCCTGTCTGTCCACCTGGGAGCCAATACCACACAGTTTTAATCAGAGGCTTTAAAGTATGTTCTAATGCTTGACAGGGCAAGCTCCCTCAGAAGTTTTGTCTTTTTTGGTGTTTTCCTATCCGTCCTTGAATGTTTCTTTTCCATGTGAACTTTAATCTCAACTGAAAAAAGACCTCTTATGACTATGTTAAATTTATTCACCTTTATTGATGTGACTGACATATGTGGTCTCAAGTTGGTCACGTAACAACGATATGATTATTACATGTATTATATTTTCCATGCTTCTTTCTCTAGATGTTTTCTTTGCCTGCTCACTCGTTTAGTGACTGATTGTGACTGTATTTAGGAAGGCTTATGGTTTTGTTCTCATGTTTATCTTTGTGGCGATACACTTTAACACGCTTAGACTCCCATTTTCTTAGATTTCTAGTATCTTGTCGATTTTTAATGGTATCCTTTAATGCTCACCTATTACACACACAAAAATCAATGAGCCCATTCAACTTTCATCTTTATCTATCCCTGCTTCCATTTCTTTAGTTCATTTCTACTGTGTTAGAACACGTGACATTTATATATTATTGCTTCACTCTCCTCACTGCTTTCGTTTTTAGATTTATAGCAACAACTCAATACATCTCACGCCCCCATCTGAGGTTTCCTGGCTCATCTCTGGGGTGGATGAAGCTCATCCTCTGGTAGATTCCTTAGGATGAGCTAATAGGTACAAAATTTTTTATGTTTAAATGGTTTTTCTCTGGCCTTGATACCTGAAAGACTTACATGCCCTTGATTCACACTCTCTTTGAAAATGCTCCCTCACCGCCCTGCTTTATACAGTTCTGGAGACATCTCATGCCAGTCTAATTTTTTTGCCTTGTAAGTTATTTAAATATTTTTTTGGCTTGGAAGGCCTCAGGAATTTTCCTTCACCTTTGAAGTCTGAAAGCATTACTAGACTATATCTTAGACTTGATTGTTGTTGGTCAGTTTTCCCGCGTTACCCAGACAGCCCTTTCGCTGTGTAGATTCAGACCTTCTTTACTTTCTGGGAAATTTTCCTTTGATTGCAGCTTTACGTATTAGTTCTGTCCCAGTATTTTGTTTTCCTCCTCCACGGACTCCAGCTCTACATGTGTTGTCTCTTCTTTGCCTGCGTTTCACTTCAGCCCCTTTCGCTCTGACCCTTTTTACTTTTATTCTCATCCTCTTGCTTGTCTCCCAGCCTTTCTTCAATGTCCTTTGCTACATTTCACTTGGATGTATCTCCCTTGAGCATCTTGAAGTTCAATCTCTGAGATAACTTTATCATCTTCTTCCATTGTTTCCCTAAGCATATTAAATCCTTTTCATTTCTTCATACCCTTTTTAAAATTTCTGATTCAAGGATTTTTTTTCTCATCTCTTCAAATGCTTGAAGATACTAAAATCAGTTAGAAGTGCTATGTTTCTTCTGCTTTGTGGTGGTTGTTTCCTTGGCAGAGGGCGAATTTCTTAAGTTGAGGTGCTTATTCCTTCAACATTTCATTATGAAACATTTCAAACATCTAGAAAGTTGAAAGAATTGTAGGGCGAGCATCCATATTCCTAGTCCCATGAGCCTATTACTGTTGTCATTTTGCGCTACTTGCTTTTATCACACGTGTTCACCTATCTATCTGCTCATCTGTCTTATTTTTTTGATGCATTTCAAAGTTGCAGACATTGATCCAAGAAAATGTACAAATCTTGAGTGTACCATTCTTTCTTTGGATTTGGACAAACACACACAGCCATATAAACCACACCTTATCAAAATACACAACACTTCCGCCACCATAAAATGGTCCTTCACACCCTTCCCAGTCAATACCTGCCCTGTGCCTCCCAGGACAAATACAATACTGATTTTTATTCACCGTAGTTTTGGTCTGCTCTAGAAATGCGATCATATAGTGCATACTCTTTTGTGTGAGACATTTTTCCCTCAGCAAAAGTTAACAGTGAGTGTGCAAGAGAGTGCACTAGGATCCATCCTTCCTTCCTTCCTCCCTCCCTCAACTCACACGTAATTTGGATTATGGACACTGTTGGTGTTCCAGTTGTGTTTATGGTGTGGTTTTTGTAGTTTTATTTGTTCTTGTTTTTCTATATTGTTTGCAGAATATTTGTAGAGACTGGATTTAGATAGTCATCCATAATATTTCTCATTTTAAACATTTTCGAACATAAAGAGGGGTTGCTTAATAATCACCCACATTTAAAAAAGATCAAGATTTTGCCACACCTGCTTTATTTTTCCCTCCCTTTTTTTTGCTGAAGTATTTTGAAGCAAACTTCATACATCTATCTTATTTCAGCACTACATACTTCAGATTCTACCTCTAAAAGAAAGAGACCCTTTGTTTCATAACCATAATGTCAAAATGACCAAAAATTCCTTGTATTATTTGGAATTTAGACCATGTTCAGACACTTCAGATTGCTGAAAAAATGTTCTTTTACAGCTGGTTTGTTTCAGTCAGGATCCAAACAAGGTCCAGGCTTCAAATATTGATGTGAGCCTTTGAAGCATTCCATCCTCCGCATCTTTCCTACAACACTAATTTTGCTGAAGAAACTAAGCTGGCTTTCTGTAGGATGTCCTACATTCCTTGCTTTTACTTTTTGACTTTTTTTAAACCTCAAAGTTTTTAGTCACTAATAAACTTCCATTCATGTCACTGCCATTGCAACAAACATTTCTGGAACCACTTCTTTGATATTTAGTTTGATACATTGCTTTGAATATTCTTGAGAGTTGAATACGCTTCTCCTTACGACAATAGTTCTCAAACATCTTGGTCTCCTGAAAATCTATCGAAGACCTCAAAGAACTTTTATTTCTGTGGGATAAAGCTATCAATATTTACCATATTAGAAATCAAACAGAAATGTTGAAAGCACAAGACTATAGGAGCCAATCAAAGGCGTCAGCGTGACGGCATCGTCTCATGTTATGCAGCTTCTAGAAAACTCCACTGTGAACTTGTGAATGAACAAGAGTGAAAAAGGACAGCAGGACTTAGTATTGCCATAAAAAAACAGTTTGAATTCCAGACCCTCAGAAAGGGTTGTGCCCCCTTGTTCCAAACTATATTTTGAGAACCACTGCTGTGAAGAAGGATCTGATTTTTGGAAGAAGACGTCTTTTGGAACCATGTTTGGTAAAGCAACTTTTATGTGTCAAAAATGAAGGAGAACTATAAAAACTGATTTTTTCTTACAAGTCGTATAAAATGGCATTTCAAAAAAGCATTTGACAAAGAATTCCGGTAGTATTCTGCACAGTGACAAACGTTAAGTATGGGTTCAGGTCCCTGGAGTGACTGCTGGTGGCAGCACAGAATTTTAGCACTGGATGGTCTTCAGAGACTTCCAGGGGCCACTGAGTCGTTTAAGTCTGTGTGTGTTTGGGAAAAGTCTGTTTTCCTACTTCAGAATTAGTGCACCTGCTTGGAAAAATACTTTGGCATTTTCATGGGAAGTCGAGCATTTGTGTGCCCTGTGCTAGGCTTTCTCTGCCCTCCCTCCACCCCAGTGAAGAACCACAGCCCCCAAGCAAGCATTCGGCCCCCAAGAGTAGCTCCCAGAGAAATGTCGGCCCACACAGGTACCAAGGGATACAAACAAGAACGCTCAGAGCAGACTGTTCATAACACAAAGACAAAAAAATAAAAATAAATCAATGACTACTGACACAAAAATGGGTAACTGAATTAAAATATATTCCATATTAGCAAAATGAAAAATTATAGCTAAACTAACGTGAATGAAATTTAGTAAAAAATAAATGTTGAGTGAAAAGTCCCTGAAGACAAGATACAGTACTTTTAAAAAATAAACTCAGTTAAACAG